AACGGGACCTGAACCTTTTCAGCCTCCACAAGAGAAGGCTGAGGGGGGATCTGGTGACTGTCTGTAAACTTACCAGGGGGGACCAGTGGGGTATGGCAGAGTCCCTGTTCCCCTGAGCACTACCTGAAGTAACTAGGAATAACAGCCACCAGTTGATTGAGAGTAGGTTCAGGCTAGACATCAGGGGGCACTACTTCACAGTCCGGGCGGCCGGCTCCTGCCCTGGGGGGTCTTCAAAAGGACGCTGGATAGTCACCTAGCCAAATGGGGTCATTTGACCCCAGCATCCTTTCCTGCCTGTGGCAGGGGGTCAGACTTGATGATCTGCTCAGGTCCTTCCCAACCCTATTAGCTATCAACTATGAAACTACTCTCCACTAGTTTGTACCCATTATTCCTAGTTACTCTTAGGGGTGCCCTGGTAAGTAGTGCATCTCCAGCTCTCTCTTGTCCTCCCTTGATAAACTTATAGGCTGCTACAAGGTCTCCCTTCAGCTGTCTCTTGAGAAGGCAGAAGAGATCCAGATCTCTCAACCTCCCTTCATAGGGTTTTGTACGGAGGCCACTAATCATGCGAGTGGCCTCCTGGACCCTCTCCAGATTCTCCACATCCCTCTTGAAGTTCGGTGCCCAGAACTGGACACAGTACTCTGACTGTGGCCTGACCAGTGTCGCATAGAGGGGGAGCATCACCTTCCTCCATCTGTTGGTTGGGCATCTACTAATGCTCGACAAGTTGCGATTGGCTCTGTTAATGGCTTTGTTACACTGTTGGCTCGTGTTCATCTTGGCGTCAACTGTGACTCCAAGATCACTCTCAGCTGCTGAGGAGGTCATCCCCCAACCTGTAGGTGTGCTGGGGATTCCTCCTCCCTAGGTGGAGTACTTTGCATTTGTCTTTGTTGAATTGCATCCTGTTTCGTTCTGCCTGTTGACCCAACCTGTCCAGATCAGCCTGAATCCGCGCTCTGCCCTCCGGTGCGTTAACTTTGCCCCATAACTTGGTGTCATCTGTGAACTTGGAGAGGGTGCTCTCCACACCCTCGTCCAGATCGCTGATGAAGATATTAAATAACACTGGTCCAAGGACCGACCCCTGCAGGACCCCACTGCCCAGCTCCTTCCAGGTCGAAAACGACCTATCCACCACCATCCTCTGGGTGCGGTCCCTAAGCCAGTTTGCCACCCAGCTGACTGCGTAGGCATCCACTCCACAGCCCGTTAGCTTCCCTATGAGAATAGAATGCAAAACAGTGTCGAAGGCCTTCTTAAAGTCCAAGTAGATGACATCT